ATTTTTCTTATTGAAAGTCGAAATTATTATCGGTAAACTTTTGCCGCATTTTATATCCGTCAAAATAAATGAAGCAAAATGGTCGGTTTTATATGGTGTATCAAAACAAAATTAAATGCCGTTTGTTTCATAGTCACTGATAATGTAGTCGATATGAGTTTTAGTTGAGGAACTAATTCTGGTCTCATCGTTTGGACAAAAAACCTTCAATCTATATGGAATAATTATAGAATCTAAATTTTCTTTTTCTTTGCTATCCAGGTAATTTATGTTATAATCACCCAGAAGCGCAATTTTATTAGAAACTGAAAATGCATTATCTCTGTTAAGCGTTAATTGTTCCAAAAAATCAATAAAGTTTGATCTGCTTGGATTATAACACAAAATAACTAACATTTTTTCTCTAATGGAAATGTTAAATGTAGATTTGCACTCAACCCACACTGACTCATATTTTTCTTTATCAAATAAATTTAAATCAGGCCTCAATTTCGGAGCCAATTTGACTGGTATATATAACAAAATGCCACCGCCTTTCTTTTTAACCGCTGATTGCTATCATATCTGAACATCGCATGCGTTCTAGAGTGGAGATTCCATAAATTGTCACTATCTTCATTTTTAGCCACGTTTCGGAAATTCCTATAATTGTATTTTCGCCCATATCATCAAGAAATTTTTTCAATTGCATCCGTTTTCTAATAATACTTTGAAAATTCAAATGAATAAATTTAAGATTTGCACAACTTTTTGAGCAGATGCCGTAGACTGTTTCAATGGTTTCAATAGGACCAGGGTTTTTTTCAACATCCTCACTTTGGGTTAGTAGCAACGCAAAAAGGAAAAGATGAGTCAGTGCGGTAGCTCTCCGCTCATTTAGCCCACATTTCGATGTTAATATCTTTTGATGGCAGCTTAGATAGCCCCAGTAAACAATGGTTTTTTCTATATTTTCCATCTGAGCCTTGGAAATTAGAAAAATTGCACAAAACAACCAGAATTTAATATTCAGCATAATAAATCAAATAATCGCCAAAGTTTGCACCAAGAAAAAATGCGAAACTAGTATTTCCTAAACAGTTTTGTACCGTTTTGGAAAAATTGTATCATATCTGCCGTTTTTGGATCTAAATTTGATGATTGTTGGGTTTGCTTCATTCTGGGGCGGGTTGTAATCTCACATGTGTTTGCATTAATATCAGAACCTCTAAAAGAATCTCTAAAACTTTGCACCAAAATTTCAACACCCCCATCAGAAGGATGCAAACCATCCGAGCTAAGCGCATCGGTATTTTGACTAAAATTTTTGTTTATGTCTAAAATATCCAATTTTACTTCGCCCAAGTCCTTTACATTCCGTACTAAATTAAGAATTGCTTGTTTAGCTTCTGTACATTTGGATTAAAATCTTTTCTAAAAGCCTAAGGGAGTTACAGTACATAGTGAAATTGTTTCTCGGGAGAATTTATGATTTACGAGATAAATTAGTTTTTTTAAGCTACTCACGGCTTCCTTCGCGTCGAAATCATTTGAGAGGCAGTCATTTATTCCAATTAGCGTAGTTACATGTTTAAAATGTCGCGATTTACTAATTCTCACGCGTTCCAGCAATGCAAAAATTGTGTGCCCACCAAATCCTCTCGCCAACACATTTTCCGATATTTGTTCCCCATTGATTCTGTTAACAATTGAGTCTACCAGTAATAGGCCAGAATATTCTCCTTCTCGTGGTAAAAATAAATTTTTTCGTTGTTGGTCGAATTTTTCTTCTTGAATATTGGTTGCTTGTATTCTGATTTCTTGGTTATTCTTGCTTTCTTGGTTATTTTCACTTCGTTTGTTCTGATTTCTGCTCCGAGGTTCAAACTTGCTCCATTCATTTTCAAATTTGTTTTCTGCAATTTTCGAATTGCCCGTGTTTTTTGAAATTTTCTAGATCAATAAGTTTGTTTCCTTTTTCTTCATCTTTCGTTGATACAGTTAAGTTTTCGATAATTCGTTTAAAATAAGTAACATTTTCGATCAAGTCTTTATACAGCTCGTATTTCAATTCGTCGTTCAAATTTCGGAAAGTTTCGAGGTCAAACATGCGGACGATTAAAAGCGAAATTAAAAATAAGACTTTAAAATGAACCGACTGATCGCTAGAAATTTAAATTGGTTGTGAAGAAATTTTTGCTAAAAAGTAAATTTCAAATGTTTTCGCAACTATGTGCATCGTCAGGATTTTTACAACAAACTAATCTAAATGACGATAAAACATCAATTTACAAATGTTATTTACAATAAATCACATACAATTTGGTTCTAAACCATCATGATAAAAAATTAGTATATTATATTTTCTAAAAAAAAAACTAAATTACAAAAGAGGCCCTTCCGTTTAGTTACGGTAAGTGCACAAGCTGGATAGGGCCATACCAGCGATATAAAAATGCATATATATCAGCAATGAAGTCATAAATCAGCATTAAATGCATCGTCATAATGTTAATTTATCTTAGCCATCCTTCCTCTACAATAGCGCTTAGGGAGTTGTCGATAAGTTGAACTTTGAGTAGCGATCTGCACCCTCTTATACAAAGTATTGAGCTCCTCAGGAGCGCGAAGCTTATTTTAGTTCTTATGTAGTTCATAGATTCTGGATAGCTTTCTTGCTTTCTTGCCTTTTTTCACTTAGTTTTTCGGCCAATCGCTGCATCGTCCGCGTGGCTGTTGGAGCAGCGCCACCGGTGCATCCAAAAATAAGCGGGCAGAAGCTACTCTGCTCTACGTTTAAAATTCTTTGCTGATATTGGAGTTCTTCAGCGTTTCGTGGTATTTGTATGCATCCTTATGCAGTTTTCGCAATGTTTTGGCATGGGGGTTGAAAATTTTCACATCAAAGAAAGCGCGGCTGAATCGTGAACCCCAGAGTCCGCTTGCCTTAATGTCAAGTCGTGCCTCATCTTCAGTTGTAGTTGAATTGTTAACAAAGCTTTCGCCTTGCAACGGCTGAAGTTTCAGCTCAATCTCGACGTCATGGCAAACCTCGTTCATGAGGTTGGCGAATGTGTCTCTGATTTCATGGTGTCTTTTGTGTGTGTAACAACCCTTTGCACAGTGAAGCGCATGGGTCAAGTAAAAATCAGCACTACATGCACATGTGAGTGGGGTTTTGGTTGGCTCCCATCCGTATCTTAAGTAAATACCATCTCTGAACTCTAATTTATTCAGGTTGAAGTTGTATCTGCTCAATGGTAAAGCGTTGAGCCAGTTAGAGGCTCCCTTTTCAGAGGCCAGGTCGATTGCGTATTTATCTGTTTCATTTAAGGAGTTAATGATGTTTGTTTTTTTCAATTTGTTCTATCAGTTTTCAATTTTTTGATTTTCGTACATATTTTTTCTTGCTGTGTTACTGCTGTAATAGGATCTTGAAATTCCAGTACCAGTGATGTTTCTTTAGACCATTCTAGGTAGTTTTCATGATCGGATGGTAGCTTGATGTTAAGTCCGCCCATTTTAAGGGGTAAGGAAGATATCTCACGGAACTGGGGGCTTAAAGTGTCTTTACCGACTAGGTTAGGTAATAATTGTTCTTTGATAATTTTTTCACATATTTCTAAGTTTTCCATAGTGTTAGGCGTTGTCCTGGCAAGAAATGAAAGCTTTTCTTGAACTCCTTTAGTATAGCAGGCATGAACGTTTTGAGGGGAGTTTTTAGCAATTTTCGTTAGTTTTTTCAAAATGTTGATTTGCTCATTCTGTTGAAATTCGAGGAATTTTTTACATTCAGATTCTGTTGCTATAACTGAATCAAGCAGTCGGGCTGCTGCCTTTATAGTGATTCGTGTATTTGCGAAAATTTTCTGAGCTTCACCGAGTTTTTCATCTTTGACAATGAGTTGGCATTTGGATGCTTTCACGTGGTAGCCGAAAAATTTAACCAGTGATACAATTTTATCGAGGACGGTTCGTAGATTGCTTAATTTACCGACTGCGTTTCCGTCGTCTGCGTACCATTTCTGGGTTACATCGTTTACTGATAAAAGTTTTAAGAGAGGTATTATGGCTAGACCGTACATGGCCATTGCTAGTGGACCCCCCTGGTTTGTCCCTTCTTGAGTGTAGATTGTTTTTTTGTTAACGAATAGTTTAGGTGGATTGGAGTAGGAGTTCTTAATCGCTGTTAAAAGGGAAGGGCAGGTATTTTCGATGTTTTTTAATGCCAGCTTTCGGTTCAGCGAGTTGAAAGCGTTTTCGGCATCTATCAGTAAAACAGCATCGGCGGAAGTTTTGCTGTATTGATCTCTTAGCGTGTGGATCGCATATTCAATGCCACATTTTTGTCCTAGGCAGAGTTGGTAGTTTGAACCGAGCGACATGAGTTCGTTTTTTAGTCATTTAGTTATTGTTCTCCCTATTATCCTTAGTATAACTTCTCCTATGCCTATGGGTCTTACCCCTGGATTCTTATCTAAGGGTATTAATCTGCATGCGTTATATGGTTCCATTAGTTCTGGATTTAGTTCTTCTGTGGCCAATTTTTTGGCAATTTTAGCAATTGTTTTTGAAATTTCAACTGATTGTTGCCCGAAGTGTGTTAGAATACGTCTCTATTCATTCGCATCGAGGCCAGATGGTCCATGCGATCCGTGCGTTCTCATGGCTGCCTTCTTGATATGTTGACCGTTCATCTGATCAAATATCGATGGATGGAAAGGAATTGTTTCGTTTGAGACTGGTGTAATAATATTTTCTCGTGTTTTCTCGTGCATTACATTTTCTCGTGTCGAGTTGCGTGTTCTTATTGAAGAAAAGTAACCCGATTTTAATTGTAAGGACATCAACACTTGTCATTTTCTTTGATCATTATTTTTTCCATATCTGGAAAATTCCACGGATTTTGACTGCAAAACGCGATGAAGGGACTCCTGATCGTAACTTCGGTTACTATGATACTTTTGACCTTTGATTATATTTCCAAGCAGTTCCTGCGGTAGCAAGCATTTGGCAGTTCTTTCAGACCTAATGAGTGAAACTCCAGATGTGCAAGTTGAAAAGAGTTCCTCCGACAATCTCGCGCTGGAAGAGGAGTCGGATGAAGAAATTGATACTTTTGTTACGAAATGTGGCGGTATTGAATCAGCCTCGATAACTATATCGCTTTCCGAAAGTAGCAGCTTCGATACCAAAGAAGAAGCTGAGAGCCAGGTGACCGCAAGAGCAAATGGTAATGAATTGAATGTGTTAGAAGAGCAGGCGTCACAAGTATCAGAAAAAGAGAGTTATACGAGCTGTGAGATAATGAAATGCAGTTATGAATCCAAACTCGAAGAACTTAATAACTCATTGGTGCTTCTTAATGCCAAAATTGTACAGAAAGAAGAGGAGCTGGCGCTGTGGAAGAAGAAATTCGAAGATAAATGCATCGAATCTAAAATTGCGTCCCAGAAAATTCAGGGTGACCTCACGGCTCGTCTTGAGAAAGCCTTACGGATGTTGGAAGCAGTAAAAAATGAAAAAGAAGCAGCAGTTATGAAGTACGTAGTCGTTGAGCAAGAAATTGCTACAAAAGAGAAAGCCGCAGAAATGAGCGAGAAGCGCCGTCAATATTGTGAAAAGGAAGCAGCGCAAGCAATGGAAAAAGCAAAACAGATGCAGAGCGAAAGAACCAAATTTAGACAGCTTGTTGAAGATAAAGAGAACGAATTAATTTATGCCCGTAAAGAGAATGACAAATTGAAATGCGATAACGCCACATTAATTCAAAAACTGAAAGTAAGATATACTAATTTTTAACGTGTAGTAATTTCCCTTTCTACTTAAACTTCGCAAATGTAGGTAACTGAGCGAGTAAAGTATACGCCGAAAATTTTAGGCCGCATTAAGTTTGTGAGCAGAAAAGAAGACAAAAACCAAAAACAAAAGTCTGGGGTAGTAGATTTACAAATTACAGAAGCAAAAACAACTTGCAAGCAACAACAAGAAAAGCTGGTTACAGAAAAAGGAAATTCCGTTTCTAAGCCGACAAAACAAAATAATCAGACAAACGATTGGCCAACAAATTTCTTGGAACTATATAGTCAGAGAAAAAGTATCTCAACCGATGACCTTTGCCGGAATATAGACTTTTTACCCACATAATCAACTCGGAATATAGATTTTTTACCCGCATAATCAACTCGGAATATAGACTTTTTACCCGCGTAGACTTTTTTTAAGAAAAACGATTTTTCCAACCGATTACTTGTATTTCTGGGCGTGTTTTTCTAAAAAAAACTAAATAACAAAAGAGGCCCTTCCGTTTAGTTACGGTAAGTGCACAAGCTGGATAGGGCCATACCAGCGTTATAAAAATGCATCTGATATATCAATTTATCAATGAAGTCATAAATCAGCATTAAATGCATCGTCGTAATGTTAATTTATCTCAGCCGTCCTTCCGCTACAATAGCGCGATGGAGTTGTCGATAAATTGAACTTTGCGCAGCGATCTGCACCTCATTATACGTAGTATAGAGCTCCTCAGGAGCGCGAAGCGTATTTTAGTTCTTATGTAATTTATCGATTCCGGATAGCTTTCTTGTCTTTTTTCACTTAGTTTTTCCGCTAATCGTTGCATCGTCCACGGGGCTGTTGGAGCAGCGCCACTGGTACATCCGAAAATTTACGGGAAGAAGCTACTCTGCTCTACCTTTAAAATTCATTGCTGATATTTGGAGTTCTTCAGCGTTTCGTGATATTTATATGCGTCTTTATGCAGTTTTCGCGATGTTTTGGCAGGGGGGTTGAAAATTTTCACATCAAAGAAAGCGCGGCTGAATCGTGAACCCCAGAGTCCGTTTGCCTAAATCTCAAGTCGTGCCTCATCTTCAGTTGTAGTTGAATTGTTGACAAAGCTTTCGCCTTGCAACGGTTGAAGTTTCGGCTCAATCTCGACGTCATGGCAAACCTCGTTCATGAGGATGGCGAATGTGTCTTTGATTTCATTGTGTCTTGTGTGTGTAACCGCCCTTTGCACAGTGTAGCGCATTTGTCAAGTTAAAATTAGCACCACATGGCCATGTGAGTGGGGTTTTGGTCGGTTCCCATCCGTATCTTAAGTAAATACCATCTCTGAATTCTGATTTATTCAGGTTGAAGTTATATCTGTTCAATGGTAAAGCGTTGAGCCAGTTAGAGGCTCCCTTTTCAGAGGCCAGGTCGATTGCGTATTTATCTGTTTCATCTAAGGAATTCATGACGTTTGTTTTCTTTTGGTTTGTTCTATCAGTTTTCAATTTTTTGATTTTTGTTTATATTTTCTCTTGCTGTGTTATTGCTGTAACAGGATCTTGAGATTCCAGTACTAGTGATGTTTCCTTAGACCATTCTAGATAGCTTTCATGATCGGATGGCAGCTTGATGTTAAGGCCACCCATTTTAAGGGGTAAGGAAGATATCTCACGGAACTGGGGGTTCAATGTGTCTTTACCGATTAGGTTAGAATGAAGTTTTTCGTCAATTCCTTTAGTACAGCAATCGTTTTGGGGGGAGGTTTTAGCGATTTTCGATATTTTTTTTTCAAAATTTTGATTTGCTGATTCTGTTGAAATTCGAGGAACTTTTTACATTCAGATTCTGTTCCTATAACTGAACCAAGCACTCGGGCGCATGCCCTTATAGTGATTCCTTGTATTTTCGAAGATTTTCTCAGCTTCACCGATTTTTTCATCTTTGACAATGAGTTGGCATTTGGATGCTTTAACATGGTAGCCAAAAAATTTACCTAGTGATAAAATTTTATCGAGGACGGTTGATAGATTGCTTAATTTACCGACTGCGTTTCCGTCGTCTGCGTACCATTTCTGGGTTACGTTGTCTGCTGATAAAAGAGGGGTATTATGGCTAGACCGTACATGGCCATAGCTAGTGGATCCCCCTGGGTTGTCCCTTCTTGAGATTAGATGGTTTTTTTGTTAACGAATAGTCTAGATGGATTGAAGTAGGATTTCTTAATCGCGGTTAAAAGAGATGGGCAGGTATTTTCGTTGTTTTTCAATGCCAGCTTTCGATTATGCCGGCATCTATCAATAAAACATCATCGGCGGAGGTTTTGCTGAATTGATTTCTTCGCGTGTGGATCGCATATTCACTGCCACATTTTTGTCCTAGACAGAGTTGATAGTTTGCACCGAGCGACATGAGCTCGTTTTTCAGGCATTTGGATATTGTTCGTCCTAATCCTACTCATAATTTCTCCTATGCCTATGGGTCTTACTCCTGGATTTTTATGTAAGGCTATTAATCTACATACGTTATATGGTTCCGTTAGTTCTGGATTTAGTTCTTCGGTAGCCAATTTTCTAGCAATTTTAGCAATCGTTTTTTAAATCTGTTGATTGTTGCCCGAAGTGTGTTAAAATTCGTCTCCATTCATTTGCATCCAGGCCAGATGGTCCACGAGATCCATGCGTTCTCATGGCTGAATTTATAGATTATGTTTGCAAGAAAATTAGTAAAGAAATCATTACCATAGAACGAGAAATGGATGCCATCACCTTAGAACATTTGAGGGGTTAGATTTAGGTTGAGGTTAGGCGAAACAATGAGTGAATGTGGGTGTACAAATCTATTTATCAAAATAGACAACACATGATTATGAATATAAATTTTGCAATTTATTTCAGTGTTATTACAGTTCTGAATTGTTTTGGGTATGATCAGTGTCTTGGGCTGAAACTTGTTAGTGACGAGGTTAATGAAGTTTTTCCACTGCTGTTCTAATTCTTGTGGATGCAGCCTGTTGTCGTTGTATCCAGCAACTTCTGTTACTGTATTTAGGCGCTTTGGTCTGTATTGCAAAACTGTTTCAAACAGATCATGAAGCGTGGCGCCGCGGTAGGAGTGAATTGTTGATTTTACTAGAGCTGGTTTGATATATTTGGTCCTTGAAGTCCCGATAACTAGTTTCTGTAAGAACTCAGGGATGAGTCTTGTCTGGACTCGCGGCATCTACCTGAAACACAGACAAATGGGGCGAGAAAGGAAGCTCTTTGGGGTGATTTATGAATACTTTCAAATTAGGATTTAAAATTAGACAAGGGTGATGAAAAAAAAGGAGTGGTACAACCTGACGTCGTTTTGGGGGTCGATTCACCGGCTCACTCCTTCTTGCGTCTAGTTACGCCAGGGAAACTTCACTCGTAAGATAAGTCTGTGAGGAAAGCCCAGCGCATTTAATATGAAATTACACAAAAGGTAAATTTGAACAGACACACTATTTCATAAGTTTATCACAACAATTAGGCTATTTAATAAGTTTATCACAACAATTAGGCTTACACACCGATCATTCGACTTTTTCTCAGATTGAACATCATAAGAGAGAATTTTATGAATTTTTTTGCAATTGGTTTTTTCGACTCTTTGGCTTTAATTTCGTTTTTTGCTTGCCATCTCGGAATGGTGATTTATATTAACTCCGGCCTTTTTCCGTGGGGAAGAGAAATGTCATCCATTTCGCCGCAGCCGCTCATGCCTTGCTCGGAATGCTATGTTTATGTCGTATCGCACATGTAAATTTGATTGAGAATTGATTGTCTAGGGTCTGGAAAATCGTCTTCAAAAAGAAGTAGATTCACACGCAGAGACACAGTCAAAGGTAGCAATTCTGAATCAGAAACTGAAAGAAATGAAAGAAGAGTTTGACGTCATCAAGAAGCATAGCCAGGACTTAGTGAAGGCTTATAAAAGTTTGGAGATAGACAAAAATGATACCGACGATAGTATCAAAAGCTGTGCCAGCAGTGAAAGTGACGTAAGTATGTTTTTTCGAGCGATTTGATATTTGCTTCTGTGCATTCATGGCGAAATTTTTACTCACTTGCGTTTAGCAACTGTTATTAAAGCTCGTACTAGTAATTTTTCCTGTATATTAGTTACCTGACGGAAACATTATGTCACTTCTTTTTGGCTCTTGCTGTTTGACTGCTCTCTTGGTTTGCTTCCTGATATAATTAAATGTATGCTTCTTCTACATGAATACGGACGGGCTTAGTTTCTATTTTTTGGCCCAAATATGTGTAGGATTGAACTGGCATCGGCCTAAAATATATTATGATTTCGACTTTAAAACTTTGCAATCCCATTGCCCTGATTTTTGACTGGCTTTTATTAATTCGTAGATTTCTTCCATGGACGAAAACACACCGAGCATACACCGAAGTAATCAGTCACTGAAAGATGACACAATCTCAAGCAAACTAGTGAATCTTGGCCAGCTGAAGGACTTTGAATTCCTCAAGCGTATGCAACAGTGTTCCATGGTGGAGATTACGTCTTTGAGGGATCAGTTGTCCCAGACTAAGAAGGACTCCTCTGCTCTGCAGATGTGCTTGCGAGAAAAAACAGAAGAGTTGATGGTACGTTACCTACATGTCATTCAGAATCAATAACACCCATAGTGTTGTTATTCCATTAACCAATATAGCCTGCTTGCTTAATCCTGATATTTATAATGTCAAATTGTTTGCAATAGCGATGACCTAAAGCAACTTAAATGGTCATAGTTAGTGATTCTCAGGTTGATTAAATTTGTTGACAAAATTCGAATTTTAGGTTGTTAAATCAAAAGTTAGGAATTCTTAGGTTGATTAAATTGGCGCATATTTCATTGCCGACGTCGGAATGAGCAGCTTGTTAATTAACCTCGTTTTGATCCGTTGACAACTTCAAAAAGACGATAGTTGGTTGAAAATGGTGGAAACGTGTTGTTTTAAGCAGATGTTTCATCAAAAGAAAAATTGTAAGAAAATATCCATGAGATTAAGTTTAAAGAGAAACGATGCATTTGATACAGTTAAGGAGTTTAAGTTTTAGTGGCTAAGGAATTGATTGCAATTGATTTTATGATACAGTTAAGGAGTTTAAGTTTTAGTGGCTAAGGAATTGATTGCAATCTTCAGATCTAATGGTGGAGGAGTTACAGCGGGTATCAGTAAATGAAAACGAATTTTTGATATTGAACTAGTGATAATAGGATAATATTGAACTAGTGATGATTTATAACCCCTGGTATGCAAAGTTATTTCAATCGGTGTGTACTAGCTTTTTTCCGTAACTAACTTATTTCACAGTATGACTGAAATTGTGGTCTTCTCCATCTCTACTTTCGTCAACGAACAGGCAGACGGAGAACACACATTTTTTGTGCATGTCTGCTTTTTGAATGCTCTATATTCTAAATTTTTGTTCTTGGTTGTAACTTAGTAGGTAATATTTGGCAGATCAATTTTTTCGCTATTTTTTCTACGGTTTCATTTTTTTTCGATCATTGTTTTTTCAGTTTTGTTTACCTCTATCTTTGTAAAAGTTCTTAATGTGCAGGTTATTCAGTTCGAAGATTTTGGACTGTTTTGCAATTTTTTTACACTTGAGAGAGCAAGTGTCTTGTAATCGGGAATCAGACTTTTTTCCCGTAAACATTTTTTTTGAATATATTGGAACCTGATCTAAACTACATTTTATGATTGGATAATTTAGATATTTTACCAATGTAAAGTATTTAATATTAACCAATCATGATCCATCTAACTAACAATACAATTATTTGTAAGTGCTGAAATTACTTGTAATTTCAGCACCAGAGAGATTTGAATTTAACTTAGAAATTAGTTGGACTCTCCCGAGTACTTCAGCAGCCGCAATAAACCAGTATACCCTAGATCTATTGAGCCTAACAGAGACTAGTTAAACAACCTGAGACTAGATAGTATAAGAGTAAGATTAGGATCGGTATTAGACTAAGAAGTTGCACGAATCTATCCGGCCGAAAATAAGATAGCGTGACGAGCAGACGGTGTACCCTATCCGAAATTACTCTATGAGTTACACTTCAGAAATAACTCATCTGGTGCGACCATAAGTCTCGAACAAGACCTTCATAGCTTAGAATTAACCAAAAATAGATTAGAAATTAGACAAAACATTTACAAAATGTTATACGACGATAATTTAATCGAAATGTCTCTACGACTCAATAGATCAGAGCCAATATTCCGAACCATAACAGAACTACCCGGAATTGGAAGAAGACCTCGAACCAGAGACGACATACGACAAAGTAGAAACTTGCCATATAGTTATATGATAGTTCGGCAAAAGCCAGAACAAACTTTTGTATTCAGAATACTACTAGCAATGAATTTAGATTTTCATTTGCAAACATAAAATCTTGAAGTCAACCTTCAAAATCATTTCAGGCGCTGAACAAAATTATTAATATACAATAACGATTGATAAAAAGATCTCAGATCGTTTTCTTAAATTCTGCAGTAATATATAAAACATGTTTGAAAAATATTTATTGGAAAATAAAAATAAAAATTAGTAGCATGACAATAAATGGTTAGTAATCATAAATCATCCTGTTGTTCCAGCTTCATCACCTAAACATAACAGCATTCATAAGCTCACTAATATCATAAAAACACTAAATCTTTTCCTTACACAAATTTAAATCATTTTAAACTTAAATTCACTTAATTTTAAAACCAGATCATCAAGGCTTATCCTTGGATCTTAAATCATTTTCTATTTAATTAAATTTCAAACCTGATCATCAAGGCCTATCCTTGGATCAAAAAGAACAATTTTGTTCTCCCCCACCCACTTAGCTAGTGTCTAACGACCTCAAACGTGGATTCACTATCCAACCCTTTCTACAAACCCAGGACTATTAGAAATTTTTAAAACAAAACTAATCATTCAAATTAGGATAAACAGTGAAGAACTTCGGTTATTCATCCTTCACTTGACCCCCCCTCTTACCAGACCCAGGATAAATCTTAGACTTAGTAAGTTTAAAATAGTATCTAACGAACTACTCGCGTTCTAATTATACCTGAACCTTGTGGATCGATTTACTATTCTCCAACCCTTGAACACAATCACTACCCCTAAGTAAGATTAAGTAAGTTAACACCTTAGCTTATACTAGTCACGAGAAAATAAAAATCATTCTTCGGAATAGATATACTTTTCTCTCCAACCCTGAACAAATAGACCCAGGTTAAGCTAACCAAAAAATCGTAAGGACTAACAGTTTAAGCAAATAGAATTCACTTAACAACCTTTTGCACCCGTCATCCTAAACCTTATGTCATTTAAAAACCTAGGAAATAAACAAACAATCGTTTTACACAATTGCGAAATAGATAACAAAAAATACGACCTTGTAATCACACCTCATACACACACAGTTGGATACATTCGAACAAAGCGACAAACACTAAAGAGAAAAATAATAACTAAACAAAGACAAATAACACGAAAAAGATTTTCAAAAAACCGAAACGCATTTTCAGAATCAGAAACCAACAGTTTAGACGAACTTTACAAACTAAAAGAATCAATAGATAAAAATTGCCCAATTCACGATCAATTATATTTCTCTGACTCAGAAACAACTTCAAATTCATCAAAAAGAGGAAAACGAAGAATAAAAAAGCAGTATAAACACAAACCAGTACATTTATACAATTGGAATCAACCAATTAGACACATTAATAATTACATATTAACAGTCATCGAACGAAAAAATGAGCTCAACGCACACTCCAGGTGAAGAAAGTCCAGATGATGATGATATTTTCCCTTTTATAGTAGATGCAACCACTGATAGAGGACAGCATATACTTTGCAAAAATTTACTATTAAATTTATTTGAACCCGGAATCAGTCCATGTAAAACAGAGTTCCCAGATGTCAGAATCAAAAGACAAATTATTGATCACTATATAAAAGATATATGTAACCTAACACAACACTACGGAATCTACTCCATAGAATTCAGCTCACCAAACCAGAATCACAGTAAATATATAATTCAAACAGACGACCTTGATTTAGCATTTTCAAAAGTATTCTCAGAATATATAAAAAGCATACAATATCATAACTCACAAAGAGCAAATTCCATATTCACCAATGAAGTTTTTGCCATAATATATAGTTATATCTCGATATTAGAAAACGAAATCCCACTCCCAAGTGTCTCACCGACAGAAACATCTAAACATATAAGAGTACGACATGAAATCACACTACTCTCTAGTTTTCTAAATATCATTAAAGAAAATTTCACGAAAGATGAAGTTTCACAACATACAAAACACGACTTACAAAAAATTTTGGCATGGTTTATAATAGATTATTTCACACATAATCTAGATTTAATTTCACACGCAAGAAAAAATTTTAGACCTCAAAATTCAAACGATGATACTGCCATCACAGAACAATCAGACTGTTTGGGACCCCGAATGGTCTCATCATGCATTCATAAATATCCCACAATCAATCTCCAGTCAAGCAATAAGTACAATATCTTATGTAAGAGATTATGTAAAAATAACACCATTAACCATTGATGCAACACCATTAAACTATAATACATTTTTACCCGATATGCAAAATAATAGTTTAAACTCTACAGTCATACACAATGAAAACCTCAATGGAACTAGGAATCTTACTCAACAAGATATCCAGACACCATCACACTTCATAAATGAAGAAATAGTATACACAACAACTACACAACAAAGTATTTCACCAATACGTCCAAATTTAACAACACCAAGGACGAACATCAAAAGACAAAACGATCTCACTACCCTCGAGAAAGAATGGCCAACTACAATCGATATGCCGCTCACAATCACAACTCAAAGGATTTAGAGTACGACTTGACTTCGCAGAAAAGGACTTCATTGAACTAGACCAATGACCACCTCGATGTTCAAGTATACGTACAGATCCGAGTAACCAGGCATCCCCTCCACGCACAATCTCCACGCCATTCCCAAACTAGATCAGACACAAAGGAAGTTCTCCACGAAGAACAGAAAAACCTGACATAGCCAACCATTCTGAAATCAGATTTGAGTTTGTTGCGGAGACTCAGTCGTTGTCACAAGAAGACACAACGCCTGCTGTTCCTAATTCCAGCTTCCTGGAACTTCTCTAACAAAGAGAAAACGGAAGAGAATTATGATGTTCGCCAAATACCAACGCCCATCATCCATCCTTCGGATAGCAGAAGAACTATTCTAAAAAACTCTGTAAACCCCGGATGGGTGGAACCTGATCTAAACTACATTTTATGATTGGATAATTTAGATATTTTACCAATGTAAAGTATTTAATATTAACCAATCATGATCCATCTAACTATCAATACACTTATTTGTAAGTGCTGAAATTACTTGTAATTTCAGCACCAGAGAGATTTGAATTTAACTTAGAAATTAGTTGGACTCTCCCGAGTACTTCAGCAGCCGCAATAAACCAGTATACCCTAGATCTATTGAGCCTAGCAGAGACTAGTTAAACAACCTGAGACTAGATAGTATAAGAGTAAGATTAGGATCGGTATTAGACTAAGAAGTTGCACGAATCTATCCGGCCGAAAATAAGATAGCGTGACGAGCAGACGGTGTACCCTATCCGAAATTACTCTATGAGTTACACTTCAGAAATAACTCAATATTACTTGCTTTGTTATTGAACCTTAACAACTCTCAGACTCGTTCCCACTTGGCCTAGAGGTAACATGCTTGCCTTTGCTCTCTAAGGTTGGAGATTCAAGTCCCAATCGGAGCTTTTTTCAGTGTGTGAAATTAATTTTTTTCCCGGTAAAAATGAAATAGTCGTTTGTCAGCTCAAGTTTTGTCGCCTGTTGCAACATCACGGATTTTTGTTTTGCTGCATGTAGTAATCCTTATATTTGCAAATGTTGTTCATTGTAGCATCAGGGGGACTGAACTTTTTTAAACAAAATCATATCTGTGGTTCAACTGATGTCTGCTCCAAGGCTGTCGTCTTTGATTCAGTTTCTTGAGTTTATTCAGCTTCTTAAGTTTTGTTCTTATGTTAATTTAGTGTTCAAAGGTTTGCCTGGCATGGTTGCCTAGATTTACCCTTTATCGAGCTTTCATTTTTTTGCTTGTGTTGTATCGCAAGTGGTGCGAAGCTCTGCTTCGGCTCTGTTAATATTGAACTTGTGATATCATATTGATATTGAGATAGGATATTGAGATGGATTGGATTGTAGGTGAAGGATGCGGAGTTGAGTAGTCTGAAGAGTAGAGTGGACGCGTATGCAGTGTTGGAGGGGGAGGCGGAGAGTGAGAGGAGGCGGAGGGAAGAGGTCGAACAGAAGAGGACCAGGGAACAGGCACTTGTGAATGAGTGCGAGGAGAGAATCAACCAGTACCAGAGTGAGTAGCACACCACACCACAACATACCACACTCACACAAATCATAGCACCCAGAATTTGCCCCGATAATTAAATAACTATTCATAATAATTGAACAAGTCCCCCATGTGTTATTAGACGAGTCCGCTTTTTTGAACCAAAATCCAATTTTTCACGAGAAAGGCTACTGTGTTAACATATTGTTCTGAGTCAAATTATTTGTTATCAATTATGTAAAAATAATGAAACGCACGCTTCTGTTTTGGGTTTTGTGTTGAGATTCTGTGTACAAGTTCAGTGGGTTATTTCAAAAAGTTGTTAAAGCCTCTCTAAATTACGGAACCTTCGGATGAGGTTTTCCTGGTTCCAACGTTTTTTGCATCGACTTGTACAGAATTTGTTATTTTCTGACCTTTGAAAGAATGTACTACCACTACGGATAGCTTAAGAATTTATCTTTAACAGTCAGTTAGAAAAAGAAAGCCTACAGTATGTATAAAGAGCATCTAACCTGTTGAAGCAAATTGAAAAGCAACTCTGCTGAAGTGTGGACTATTTGCTAGCCGCTGTTGGATATCAGAGCACAGTAGGATCACTGATTCAATAGGAAAAGTTCGAAAGACAGCGTTTGTTTTTTTCACGAACTATTCGGATTTTTTAAAAGTGTTTCTATAATTTTTGTAACGATTGAATGTTAGAAAAAGCTGAATTTCATCAGTTTGAGTAATTCAGGTAGAGAAAGAGCGAATCTGGAATACACTTCAAAGCTCACCAACAAAATCACAGAACTTCAATTGGAAGTTCAAGAAAAGTTGAAACAGTCCGAAAGTATGCAGCAAGAAATTGATCATCTCAAAAAGCAAATCTCTGAAGCCAAATTATCAACTGCTGCTGAATGTGGCGAGAAAATTTTCGACGAAAAGCGAAAAAGAGAAGAAGAAGGTGAAAAGATGGCCAAACTTGTTGATGAAAAAGAAACGAAAATAAAGCAACTTCTTGTTGATTTCGAAGAAAAAGAGAATAAATGGAATATCGAAAAACGTAAATTTGAGGCTCTATTGAGAGATTCAAACAGGCAGCTCCAGAGTATGAAAAAGTTGAAGGAATCAGTCGAATCAGAATTAACAGTGGTCAACGATATTTTGAAACGAAGTTCAGAAAATAGTTCGCCCAGACATAGTAAAAGAAATAGTAGAGTTGAAGACGATGGAAGACGGAGTACGACAAGTGAGTTGATCATAGGGGACAACTGTGATAGTAGTATGTGGGAATCCAGTTGCAATACAACGGGCATGACGAGGCCTGTGAATGGAGCTAGGAAAAGTAACACAGGGTCCCCGAGGAAACAAATGTCAGGTGGGAAAATTAGTTTTGCATTCCTTCTTGCCTACTTCTCTTATTGGCTGCCGAACTTTGAAAATTAAATCAAGCAACTATGCGCATATGCTGCAATTGTAGTGTGGATATTGAGTCTTTTTTGTTTTGTAGCAGGGTGAAACGTTTTTTTTTACTGTATGGATTCAGTTTTCTAAATGTGCTTTACCTGTAAGAGTCATACCTGTATGAATCAACAAAATTGTAATTTGAATGATATCAACTAGCAGGCGGATTTCCGAAATATAATAACTGCAAGGTACTAAATTGTCTTCGACTACAAAAGGTTTTTTCATGGGGGCGAACTTCCAAAGTCAGAGAATCAGTTCGAAAAAATAAACGTTTTTGCCAGCAAACTCATCAAGCAATGAAACAGCGCTAATTGGCTCTGAAAAAGTTAGTAATTTAGGCAAGCTAACCAAACTTTCATTAATTTCAAGTTATACCATGAATCGGTTTGCAAAAAGTTCTAGTTTTTCTAAGCAAACTTATCAATCTATGAAATTTGAAATAATTTCATGCCGCAAATGATTGCTTAAAAATTCAAGTCACCTAAGCGAGCTCATCAAGCGATGAAATGATGGAGTGTTCTAAGTTATTCCATAGTGCGAATTGGTTATCAAGCAGAGCTTTTCTAAGCAAGCTCATCAATTGACAAAACTTGAAATCAAAAGACGAAAATGAATGCTTTACGCTTTTTCACAGAGCAGATTGATTTGCAAAAAGGTTAATTTTCAAGCAAACGCATCAGATGTTGAGTCCTTGAAGTATATATAATTATATCAGCACGAATCTGTTATCCAAAGGCTTTATCTTTTTAAGCAAGCTTTCAAGTAAAAAGTTCAAGTTCAGTTACCCTATCTCTTTAAACAGCTGGTTTAAAAAAATTGCAAAGCTCTCAATCTATGTTTCGGCTATTTCACGGACGAAAGGAGAAGTTAATTGTTTTCGAAATAGTTGAGTTTCAGAATATTCAAAAAATTCTTGTAAAGCGGAGTGGTTTCTTAAATTTGCCTATTGAGTTCTTTCTTTCTTATGTATAGATATTGATCGAACCCTCAAAGGCGTTGGCTTGGGTAGTTTTGGTGAAATCTTTATTCTTATTAATGAGTTTGTCTGAATAATAATTGTCGTTGTTCAGGTCCTCAAGGTCACCAGCAGGGGGGTTCGTTTGCGGCGGCGGCAGCGGACGAGTCTTCTTCTCTCATGTGTGCCAGTGTGCAGATCACGCAGCCTTTCAAAGGCGGAGTAGTACAGAGCAATGTGGGGGAGATGAATATGTGGACTGACAAGTATGTGGACAATTTTTAGTACATTTCTCATCGACAACGATCAAAAATATTGATTGCTTCGAGCACTTGACGACAGGAAAGTACTATGGTTCAGGGTGTTACTATTCAGCAAATTGGATAACTAAAGTTGAGTCAAATAGGCGGCTATTAGCATACTCACATTATTTGAAAAACTTGTACAGTATCAAGTGTCAATCAAAGAAGCAAATTCTCCCTTTTTGGGTAGTCCTGTGTTGTTTCCAGAAGCAGTTTTGACTTCAAGAAAACTTATCAGTGCCGATTTTTCAAATTTGGTAGTTTGAATTGGTTTATTTTAAAGCTCGCTACTCAACAGCTTATTCCGAGAGGAGTTCACATTAAGTTTTACGGTAGCTTTATTAGAAATGCGAAAAAATAACTTTCAAAGCCTATCTTGCATGCCATTTTTATAAGAAATGACAAAGGAGTTTTTGTTTGCAAATTGAACTTTCTGCGCTAATTTTTCATTGGTTGGCTAATTTTGTCATTCGGCTTCTGGGGCTTTGATTTGATGCGTTATCCGGAGTGGTCTCCCAGGTGGAATCAAGCACTGTTGCAGTGGTGTTCAGTTAAAAGACCAGTACTGTATCTGGCTCTCTATAGTGCGTCTTGTGCTCAGATGAGAAACAACCAGAGATAATATTTCACAGTACTGCAAAAAGAAGTAAAATATCGATGAAACTGCTGATTATACACAATATCAGATAGTTTTCAACATTCAGAGGGCAGCTCTTGTGGCCGCTTGAACACTCATGTGTGCCACTTCCTTTTGCTCTTTACTTTTGCGCCATAGTATTTTCAAGTTATTCCAGGCTACTTCTAACATTTTGCTGTGAAATTTGTTCACTCTATTTTTGAGGTTAGTCTGTTTTTTTTTATAAGTTCATTTCGAATTCTGTTGAAAATTGCGCTCACAATTACAAAAATGCAAATGGCGTTATGAAAAGTGAATCTCAAACTGAAGAAGTTCCACTGGAGTAAGGAATTCATCTGTTGTGGCAGTTATATTTAATTGGGTCAGTTTTATAATAAGAACTGTTAATCATAATTGATTTTTAAAACTCAGAGCTTTAAAGTAATTTTTTCTTCAAAAATCAGAAGCGCAGCTTCGCTTCTGTATTACGTTTTTTACCAGATTATACACTTTTTTCGGCTTAACAACTTGGTTAACAGAATCACATAAAAGAATTTATTTCTTCAGATATGATGCATACAAAAACATTTAACAATCAAACATGCGAACAAAATCTACAAAGCATCAATTAATCATCTGAAGAGGAAAGACAAAGGTCAAAGATATGACCACTGGGTGTCTACCCTGAGTATAATAACAAACAAGAACTGAAGACCAGTTTAAGTGAACTGAAGACAAGTATATGTAAATAAAATTAGAAGAGCCTAAATTTAAGTGTTACCTTTTGTTGTGTTATGGTGTTGCAATTGTGCCTTTGTTATGTTCTTCAAAAACCCTGGTATCTCGAAATTTCTAAAGACTTAGAAGCTCATCATCTTTTCAGCCAGTATTCAGAGCCTCATATGAGGTTCTGACAGCATCCAGTGACAGACGTAATGAGAAAAAAAAATTTTCTCTCTCAAATCCGTCTAAGTACATGAGAAAATCAAAATTTTCATAAAAATGTCGATATCTCGAAAACTAGCAAGTATTAGATGCTCATATTTTCGCATTAGAATCCGAAGCTAAAAAGGGTTTCTGATAGCACCCAACTCAAGGGTTAAATATTTAGCATTAAACAGAAACGGGAAATTATTTAGACACATTTTGTAATAATTCATAATTACCAAGAATATAGTTATCTCTAAACTTATGAACAAACAGAATTTCATCATTTCTTTCCATAAGGCCGAAGTTCTTCGGCAACAAGCTATTCTCACCCAAAATATTTAAGAGTCTTGAACCTCTGTATGTTAATGACTGTAATTTAGTTCTATTCTTGCTAAAAGGAGGACAAAAGGTAATAGAACTCGATTTTCTAGTATTGTATGCAAAGTTTTTCAGTGTAAACAACGAATTAAGATATGGATTTGGATTTCTTTTATGAGCAGATCTCAAACAGAACTTGAGTAGATCATAAATATACAGTTCATGTACTGTTAATATTTTATTATCATAAAAAGTACTGGTAATGCTGTCATATTTTCTTTTGAAAAAAATTATTCTTATGATTTTTCTTTGAAACAAATGAATATTTGATTTGATTTATAATAAGAACTGTTAATCATAATTGATTTTTAAAACTCAGAGCTTTAAAGTAATTTTTTCTTCAAAATTCAGAAGCGCAGCTTCGCTTCTGTATTACGCTTTTTACCAGATTATACACTTTTTTCGGCTTAACAACTTGGTTAACAGAATCACATAAAAGAATTTATTTCTTCAGATATGATGCATACAAAAACATTTAACAATCAAACATGCGAACAAAATCTACAAAGCATCAATTAATCATCTGAAGAGGATAGATAAAGGTCAAAGATATGACCACTGGGTGTCTACCCTGAGTATAATAACAAACAAGAACTGAAGACCAGTTTAAGTGAACTGAAGACAAGTATATGTAATTACAATTAGAAGAGCCTAAATTTAAGTGTTACCTTTTGTGTTATGGTGTTGCAATTGTGCCTTTGTTATGTTCTTCAAAAACCCTGGTATCTCGAAATTTCTAAAGACTTAGAAGCTCATCGTCTTTTCAGCCAGTATTCAGAGCCTCATATGAGGTTCTGACAGCATCCAGTGACAGACGTAATGAGAAAAAAATTTTTTTTTCTCTCAAATCCGTCTAAGTACATGAGAAAATCAAATTTTTCATAAAAATGTCGATATCTCGAAAACTAGCAAGTTTTAGATGCTCATATTTTCGCATTAGAATCCGAAGCTAAAAAGGGTTTCTGATAGCACCCAACTCAAGGGTTAAATATTTAGCATTAAACAGAACCGGGAAATTATTTAAACACATTTTGTAATAATTCATAATTACCAAGAATATAGTTATCTCTAAACTTATGAACAAACAGAATTTCATCATTTCTTTCCATAAGGCCGAAGTTCTTCGGCAACAAGCTATTCTCACCCAAAATATTTAAGAGTCTTGAACCTCTGTATGTTAATGACTGTATATTAGTTCTATTCTTGCAAAAAGGAGGACAAAAGGTAATAGAACTCGATTTTCTAGTATTGTATGCAAAGTTTTTCAGTGTAAACAACGAATTAAGATATGGATTTGGATATCTATTATGAGCAGATCTCAAACAGAACTCGAGTAGATCATAAATATACAGTTCATGTACTGTTAATATTTTATTATCATAAAAAGTACTGGTAATGCTGTCATATTTTCTTTTGAAAAAAATCATTCTTATGATTTTTCTTTGAAACAAATGAATATTTGATTGAGCGCTGCAAAGCTAGTTCCGCCATATACGAGCAAGCCATATTGTATAATTGGTTTAATGTTAGCATTATAATATTTCAACAAAACACATTTTGGAACCAAATACCTCATTTTTGAAACAACACCACAATGTCTACCTAGTTTAATTTTCAATTTTTCAATGTGCTGAGTGAATTTTAACTTACAATCAACTATTACTCCTAAATACTTACATGCTGACTGAGGATTATACGCAACATTATCAATTTCAATTTTAAGGTTAGAAGCGCTTCCATTATCAAAACTAATTAAGGTGGTTTTATCTGAATTAATTGTTAGTTTATTTAAATTCATCCATTCTGATTTCTTTGTGACATCCTCTTGGAAACATTCAAACCGTGCGCTATTACAGGCTATGTTGGTATCATCCACAAACAGAAAAACTTTTGAGCTAGATGCAGCAAGGTGCAAATCATTTATATACACCAAAAAGAGAAGGGGACCTAAAACAGATCCCTGGGGAACACCGGTGGTCACTGGCAACCAATCCGACGAATAGTCATTTATTTGAACACATTGAAATCTGTTGTTTAAGTAACTGTTAAACCAAGCGAGACAATTACCCCGGATACCATAATTTTCCAATTTACTCAAAAGAATTTTCATATCCAGAGTGTCAAATGCTTTCTTCAAGTCAACAAATAGGCTGCATTTAATTTTCTTGTCTTTACACATTCTTAATCTTACAGTTAATTCAGCTAACGCATCAATGTTGCAAACTTTTGCCGGAAACCAAATTGTCCTTCGTAAATAATATTAAATTTTTCAAGGTAATTATACAACCTAGAGTGCATGATTTTCTCGAAGATTTTGCCACAGCTATTTAAGAGTGCTATTGGACGGTAATTGCCAATATCCAATTTGCTTTATCACTTGTTTCATATTGAATTCAAATGTCTGTGCATCCGGCTCTTAGCCTGGAGGTTTGCCTGGGACGGCAAGGGTTCCAACTTGACCATGAATTGTTTTTTTTTTTTCAAACCGAAAATATTTCTTTCCAAAAAAATTGTCGGCTCACAGTTTTTCTGCTTATGTTTTTTCGGCTTGGTGACTTAATTTGTGGTCATTTCAAAGGAAGCATTAGTTTTAATTTAATGTTTTAAGTTGTGACTTTTAAAGTGCTTGTTTTCTACTTATTGACTTGGAGGCTTTATTTATCTGTCTGCTTGCTTGCTCTGCTATTTGTATGTTGTATCGCAAGTCGAGTGAAGCTTCGCTTCGTCTCTGTGTATAAATTTACAATTTGAAATAAAAAGAAAATCGCGATAATTTTAATCGAATGTATTCAGGATGTGATTGATACGAAAAGGTTAAGTGGGTGGGTGTTCGAAAGTTCAACTGAAGTACAACAATGCCGAAAAAACTTGTTCAAGGGTGCCGAAAAAAAATAAAGTTCATTAGTGCCGCATTTTTTGTGCAACTCTGCCGAACAAAGAACTAGCATCTTCAAAAGCTTATGTTTTTTATGTAACAGATAATACGAAGTTTTCCTCTGCCAATATCTGCTCCCTCTTCGTTTTGTTTCACCTGTTATCGATAATAATTCAAGCGTTCCAACACCTTTCGGGGGTCATTATACTTACTCCGCCGAAAACAACCTAGAGCGCATCATTTTCTAAATGTGCGAAGTGCTCGATATACACGCTACTGTTGTAATTATTATCAAATAATCAGATGTGAGCATTTGGTTTTCTGTTTTCATATTTTAAGAATTACAATTTTGGGCGGAATAAGAAAAAAGACCCTATGTTTGTTCCGTCCATTATAAATAAGGATAAAATAAGTATTATTTTCGGGTGTCTTAAAGTCAATGAACATAGTTCAGACTTCTATATAGATCGTTATGATTTTGTTTTGAAGCAAAAGTCTCAAAATGCTTCAATACTGTACATAAGTGCATTCATAGAGATTAGGCATATTAATAAGAGTCTCCGCGCAATACTGGACAACCTGGATGTGTACGGAAAGGCTTTCGGACACAATGTGAAGCCTTCCAAGTGTCATTTTATTGTAAAGGAAAACCTTCGGTAAAGAGCCATAAAAGTATTCGAAGGCACAAATATTACAATGGTAGACGGTATTAGAGTCCTTGGATCGGTTATAGGAACACCATCATTATGCGATAAATAAATGGAAAGCGAAATTGAAAAGGCAGCTATTCTAACTCAAAAGTTTTCCAAAATAGCTAAAGCATCACCACAAAATGCATACTCCTGCTACAAAAAGGGTGTTCAAATTTAATTATGCTTTCTATCCAGAACAACTCCGTAAGCATTTAAGAAAATGGATGAAATTGAGAAAAACGTAAGACAGCAGCTACTTACTAGTATTACTAGTAATAAACATATAACCGATGAAGATAACAGCCTTATTGCTCTAACACTAATAATGTGAGGATAAGACCTCCTCAGTAACACGGACTTTTCCAGAAATTATGAGTGGTCACGTGCCATTTGTGATCCTTAGAAAACAGTGATCCAGAAATAGCTGAAACGGAACAAAATCTGATAAATAGAAACTTTAAAACTGAGAGACAGAGCATCACTCTCAAAAAAGGCTAAAATTATGGAAAAATTGCTCATCAGAAAAAAAACTGACAATAAATCGAGCGTCACAGAAAGGAGCATCGAATTGGCTAAGCGTGCTACCTTTAATTTTTCCCTCAACAAATCAGAGTTTAAAGATGGAGTACATCTGGTATATGGATGGGAACCACCAAACACTCCACATACATGCCCATGTGGACAACTGTTCACACTGAACCACTCTCAACACTGTCCCAAAGGTGAATACCTAAGACATAATGAAATTCGCGATACCCTTGCGACACTCCTGGAAGAAGTATGCCATGATGTTGAAATAGAGTCGAAACTTCAATCGTTGGAAGGCTTAAGTTTTAACAACAAAACAATCACGTCTGAAGATGACTCTCGACTTGACATCAAAGCAAATGGACTCTGGGGAGGCCTATTCAACCGAACCATTTTCGATGTAAAAATTTTCAACGACCCAAATTTTTCTGCCCTAAAACTATATCTGACGCCTACAAATATCATGAGTGTCAAAACACTAAATTATCAACAAAGAATTCTGGATGTGGAACACAGTAGCTTTGTTCCACTAATTTTTCCGTGTACCGGAGGAGCAGCACCAGGCTCTACAAAAACCGTCCAGAAGCTAGCAGAGAAACTCAGCGAAAAACGGAACGAATCATACTCGGACACTATAAATTTTATAAGAACAGAAATAAGTTTTGCACTTCTAAGGAGTGCAATCCTCTGCCTTAGAGGGTGCAAAAATCTTAAAAATGCATCGAACATAGACAATTTTATCTGTGCTTTAATCGAGGGGGGTAGATTTTAATTGACAATTCTCTGGATGCATTAAAATCGACTTGATTTATTCATAAAATTTTGCTCATGTATTTATATAGCGTTGGTACGGCCCTATCCAACCTGTGCAGGTACCGTCGCATGAAGGAAGCGCCCATTTTATTTGACCCTTTTCTATGAATGCTTTAGGTAGACATGCACTATTTGAGCCCATTTCATTTTTATCTGCTGAAAGTTAGGTAAATTGTGCTCTTAATCACAAAAGTGTAAAGGTCCCCAAAAAGGGAGCAGCTTCTAGTTTCGAAAGTTGCATTTTTAGATTTTCCAGCGGAATAAAATATATATCTTTTGATCCTTTTTTCTTAAATTGAGCTAATTTTATATAAAGAAGAAAATGTCAATCATAAATTGTTCCAAGTTTCAACGAGCTGTAAGCCATATTTTTAGAGTAATGAGCGTAGCGAAGACTCTTATATAGGTCTTCTTGATTTTTTTCCAGGAAAGTCTTTAAATGCTCTAATAACTATAGATGTGCATTCATACATATTAATGCATTTATGAATACACGTACGTTTATATCCACTTTTTGAGCTGCCTTGAATTTTCATCTGCTGAAAGCTAAGTAAATAGCACTCTCCAAATAGAAACGTGGAAATGGTACGGAAAAACGAAGAGCTCGTAGAAATTCAAAGAGCTTAAAGGGCATCTGTTTTTTCGAAAGTTGAGATTTATTTAAACAAATTCTGTTTTTTTTTTCTGTTTACTTGCGTTCATTACGCTTTTCAAACTGTCAGTTGGCTTTGTTTTTTACTTCTAAAGTTGAAGGTTTTTCAAAAAAAAAACAATTAATTTTTTCTTTTCTGTTTCCTCACGTTCATTGACTTTTTCCTACTGTCTGTTGTTGGCTATGTTCATTTAATTGTTTTGAACAAATAATTGTTAATTGTTATAAACAACAAATAATTTTAAATTGTTTAAAATAAATAAACATCGGAAAGGGTCGAGTGATATATCAGATTAAAGCCCCCTGTCGTGATTTGAGTATACTTATAGGAAAACCAGTTTTGGAAGCTTCATTCAGCCCGTGCTTGGTAGTAAAAGTTTGCAAATAAATCTTATAAATTTTTGTGCCAAAAATTGCGAGTTTTTAATTTTTGTTTCATTTTTTTTGAGGACAAATGCGTTTTCACATCACAACACGAACATAACACGACACTTATTTAATGAAAAAAGAACAACATTTTTTGTTGGTATTTACGAATGTGATCTGAACATTCTGTGGTACTTGAACATTAAATGGCTACCTTTGTTTCATTTTTGCGCTGTTGCAAAAATTGACAATTAAACCAAGTTGTTTGAACTGTTGAACAATCTTTTTCAGCTCTGTTGTACTTCTGTTCATCCCACGTTTAGACATTGTTAATGACTTGTATTGTATCATATGCTTCAGATATCCTGGTCTAGACAAAAACAGTGTAGTGGAAAAACTGATCAAAACTCAAAAACAGCAGAAGAAACTGATCGAAAAGTCAGAAGTGATGGAGGATCAAGTGTTCCATCTAACCGAAGAGCTCAAAAAGAAGAACAGAATCATCCAATATTACGTTTTAAGGGAAGAAACAGGAACGTTAGGTTAGATTTTCAAGGCTTATGTCATGCTTGTTCATGTTGGCTTTTTTTCTTCCTTAGTACAAATTTATTACAATTCCCTATGGTTTAGCATGCACAAATTATGAATGATTGCCAGTGTTGTCCAATGAGATCGACATAATGTTTTTTTTTGTAAAAATCTAACTTTGTTTGAATCATAGGTACCGCATCAGGGAAAGATACGCTTATGTTCAACAAAATATATGCTAAGAAAATGTCGAATGGTGGCAAAGATGAACGAAAACGTAAGGGAGGGGGGAAATCGGCGGCGCTGTCTGCCTTGTTTCACCCTCTGAATGGTGCCACCCTTCAACCCTCAATGGGGCTGGAGGGTGGTAATGGGAGTGGGGCGGCGTCGAATGGAGCTCAAGGCGATCCGATCAACTTGCATTTTTACAAAGAGTTAAATACTAGATTGCAATCAGTGCTGGAAGATACGATATTGAAGAATATGAAGCTGCAGGTAAGTTCAAGGCCAAGTTAGTTAAAGCTGTCTGAATATCTTCCTAATTTCAACTGATCTCATAATATAAAAAGTAGAATTGTCATTTTTAGCTGCGCTTATTTCAATTTAATTTTCAGTTTATATAAGCCAATAAGATGCGTTGAGTGATGAATTTTTATGCTCAAAATTTCAGTCTAATTTTAGGAGAACTTGGACAAAATGAGTTGCGATGTTCAAGCCTTGAGAGGAGACTCAACAACCACACTAGTTGACCACTCAATACAACTACCACCACACATTGAAAACAACAGCACAGTAGTTTTCCAGCATCACGCTCATTTATCATCCGTCTCAACATCTCCGCAGCGGTTGTTTCCATCAACAAATGCTACTTCAGCTGCCGCCAACCAAATTACGTCATCCAATTTAGATGACGTAGCACTTTTGCATTCGCGTGGAGAAGGGAGTTCATGTGACGTTATTTCACACGGAAATTTTATCACGTCTAAACGAATAACAACATCAGATGACCTATTGCGCAATTGATTGTGTAATACCTTACATCGTCATTTATTTTGTAAAAGGAGCTATATTGTAATATATAAATAGAGGTTCGCGCCACTGAGCAATGTGTGTATATATTTTGCGTCAGAATGAAGGGATGAAAAAATCTGGTATAGTTAATGAAAGCGTATAATTCAGTTGAGTTGGTAATATGTATCAGCACGAGAATCGAGAGGCGCTTTAAAAAAGAAAGATAAAAGAAGAATAAAAGCTGCAATGTTGGATTTACCTTACTTTTCTGTTAAATTTCACTTATGTTTTTTTTGGTGCTGGCTTAGCTATTCATTTGAATTGAAATTTGTATATTTGGGAAATATTTATTAAATAGATTACAAAAATTATAAATTGGAAATTCTATTTCAATTAGTGTGCAATTACTTCGTAATTCTGTCTTCGTTGAATTAAAACAAAAGTAACATTTATTTTTTGGTCAACTTTTGATTAGTTACTAAAAGTTTCATTCCTTGTGTTGTTTTTTTTCATCGCTTATTCAAAATCTTCCTTATTTTGTTGGAAGTTTCAAGTTGTGGTTTTAAACAGGTTGTTTAAACCAATGAATGTTAATGAAGGAATCTTATTACACAAAAATTTTTCCAACATAACTCGCATGAATCAAATCTCAACGAATGTGGGCTCAATCTCAGTATCTGTGTACTGCAGTACTTGAGCAGGGGAGCAACAGCGGTTCCCTGCGAAAAGCTGAACAGCTCATTTGTTGGTCCTTTCCCTTGTTGATAAATTGTCTAAATCTTTTTATTTTTCATGCCTATTCACTTACCTTTTTTCCCCTGCATTTTAAAGCTCTTTTGCCATTTTTGCCTGTTTGCGAACTACAGCTTTTCATTGAACGGAATATTCACAAATTTAGTTTTTTGTTATTTTAGTTAAGTTGAACCTGATTCGGGACACGAATTTTTGTTAGATGTAAATTTATTCAATCATTTTTTGACAAAGTGATTTCCGCCTCGTTTTATATTAGCCAGCTTGCTCTGTTTCGCCTCTGTTTCAACTATCGTGTATTATTACCCTTGCTATAAGCTTAGTTTTTGCAACCGGGTGCTAGATTTGTTTTTTCCCTCAAACAACTTTGTTCACAGCATGACTGTTATTGGCGATGACCATCTGTACTTTGTCAACGAACAGACAATGTTGAGCATGATGCGACAAGCAAGGTTATTACAATCGGGTAGTAGACTTTTTTCCCCGTATAAAACTTCGTCCACAGGATGACTGAAATTTGGTTATCTCAAGATAGACGTCCAAAAGATGTAATTCTAAAGCTCGCTTGAGCGACTAAAGTGATAATTGTGTTACAGCTGAAAAATGTTTTACAAATTCTTTTTACAGCTTTTCATGATCATGGGGATAAATATAGTTCATGGCTTTCTCTTTTTTTAGGTGCCAAAATTTTCTCTTAGAAATAAAACTGATTTTTTTGCTAGAATTTTTTTTTGCAAATAAATTTAGTTTTTTGTTCGGATGCATGGTTTATGATTTCTTTTGTTCTAAATGTTCGTGCAACTAGTTTTATTTTAAATTAGTTAGGTGTGTTATATGTTTAAGCGGTTTTATTTGAAATCGATTCAAGTTAATGGTTTAACGTATTGTTTCATTTTGTCAAAAAATTGATCTATTTCCCAGATTTATTTTTGCAATTTTGAATCGTTTTTTTTTGTCTACTAAGGTATGTGGCGGCAAGTACTGCACGAGATTTTGGCGTGTGGTTCTTTCTGGCTGAAAATATTTAAAAAACGTTTCATGTTTTCATATATCCTTTTTTGTTGTTTTTTTTTGTTGTAATCTAGCTCTTTTACCTAGCGTATAAATATGATAATTGATAATTATTGATGTAATTGCGTTATTTTCAGAATTTTGTAAGATTTTCTGCAAGTTCTTTTTTGTGGCAATTGTAATTTTTGCATTTATAACTGATTTTTTTTTCATTTTTATCTTATACTATAGCGGATAGGGCCTTTATCCTCGAATGTTTTTATAAGATATGAGATTGTTTGGGTGCAAGATTCTTCAATATTTTTTGAGCACATATAGCTTTTATCGTATCTCGATTTTTGACCGAAATAATTTCATATCGTTTTCATCTATTGGTTATCAAAGAAATGGATGGAGCCCAAGTCCTTCTTTTGTTTTGAAGGTAATTGACTTGTATAACAATTGTCATATTTTTTTCCCTGATTTTTGAGCTTAAGATTTCAACAAAATTCTCAAGTTTTTCAATTTTCGTTTAAGACTTTATCTTTCGATTTTTGGAGCTTTATTGTGTATCGCAAGTGGCGCGAAGCTCAGCTCAGCTTCGCCTCTGTGTTCAACATTTAATTGGTTTACTTCTAGTCAGATTTTCTCGCAAGGTTCTCAAGACATGTAGGAAAATTTTTGGTAGATAATGTTTTTGATCATTTTCTTTGAAATTTGTATTTGCGGCTTTCATCTCTATTTCCGTCGCTTAGTCTGTCATACTATGCATGGGTTATATCTCAAGTAGTGTTATATCCCAAATATCTAAAGGTGCAGGTAATTCAGTTCCAAGATTTCGTTTTCTTTTGGAATTTTTTTATTTGAAAAAAACACGCATTTTTTGAAGTTTTTTTGTTTACCAGTTCATCTGCTAGTATGTATAGTAATTCAGTTTTTTATCGCAAGTAGTGCTAAGCTCTGCTTCGCTTCTGTGTTAAAATCAGCTGATGGGAGGAGTTTTCTGGTGTTACTTGAAAGCGAGACCAAACCTATTCGCATTGTTTGCGAAGGGTTTTGTCTCTCATTGAACGTGTTTTCTTCATAATCAAATTCCTTGGGATCTTTGAACAAATTTCTTCTGGTCATTGAATGGTTTTGAATTGAATAAGTTTTGAGATGGCTTTATTCGCTTAGTAAGCTTTTTTTCGGTAATCGTGAAAGTCGCGGTTTCGATTATAGGTTTTCGAGTCTGCAAAGACATCAAGCTTTTTAGTTTCTTCCTTCTTTTGGAAGCGACTGAATTTGTATGGATTTCGTGGAGGCTCAACTTTAGTAACTTCAGCATATCAAATTTGAACTTTCGATAGTTCAACCCATTAAATGATTGGGGAACGATGAGTGTCAAATATTGATCTTGATGTGATCGGGGGATGTCTAATAATGCTTTTGTTAGTTTCTTTGACACTTAAAACCACCAACGCAATGAGAGCATAACTCGCAACGAAAGGTTCTAGTTTGATTCCAATGTGAAATTGAACAAATTTACCTAATACATTAAAACTGACAGAATAAATAGATGAATATTGGAAGCATGTTTGAGTTAACAACATTTTAGAACCACTCGGCAATTAATCAGTGTGGTTATTGATGTGCGAAGAGCTGTGTGGTGTTTCTTACTTATTCTCACTTTAAAGTTTTGATGAGGTAGTTGTAATAGTGAATAGTGATAAATTGAGCAGTGATTTGCGTTCTTCAGCATAAGGCATGGTTAGCAGCAGTGAGGCGTTTGAGATAAACAAGGCGGCTGCCAGTCGTGACTACATTGGCCAGCCCCGTTTGACCTACCAGACTGTGACTGGAGTCAACGGACCCCTCCTCATCCTAGACAAGGTAGCTCCTGTTTTTGTTGCTGTAGTCATTGCATAGGATGGCATAAGGCTGCTGCCTAAGTTAGCATCCAGTTTGTTCACTGAGCTGTAGTCCGAATTATTGATGTTTAAGCGAGCTATTTTTTTTTCGGAAGTTGCAAAATAGGCTTTCCAGTTTCCCACCCCTCGTGAAATTAAGATACGAAATGGTTTGAAGGTGGTTCATAAGGCAATTTGCATGTAAAAAAAGTTGTAGAAATTTGTTCACTCATTCACCTCACACGTTTTATTGGTGTTTAAAACATCAAAAGTCATCTTAAATATGCTTTCGTAAATCGAATTTCAGAAAAAAACAAAGGGGTGGGGGACTGGAAAAGAGTCGATCAGCTCTTTTCATTAACATTTCAATTTTGTTGGCTATGTCCTAAAATTTAGCCTCTTCAAGGATATTTGGCCTTTTTTGAGTGAAAATGAACGTTGTTCTGTCTACCTTTCATGTTGCATTTTATTTGAGTTGCTTTTTTGACTAATAATTTATAGACTTGATCATGGAATAAGATGGGCGGCTGGTCTTTATCAAGTCTAGTGTTTGTCACCGTAGATCAGTTGATAATTTTATCTGTAAATTTTAGGTCAAATTCCCCAAGTTTGCAGAGATTGTGAACATTTACCTACAAGATGGATCAAAACGGACAGGACAGGTCTTGGAAGTGTCCGGATCAAAAGCTGTTGTACAAGTGAGAAACAAATTTGGCAAAGATACAAATTTTGAAAGTTTTTAATGCCATCCACATCGTAAAGCGAGTGTAATTGCTGCATCCTCAAATATTGTTATTAGTCTAAATACTCATGTATTTTTACAAGAACAGTCGGCTATGTTACAATTTTTTGATAACTTTTCTTGAGACTTTAAGATAGCGAAACAGGTTTACCTGTTATCTCCAGGAATGGAGTATTGCTACTAGTCTCAACTTCTGGGAGTAACATTGGACCACATTATAATAAATCGGAAGCAAGACAAAAAAATGCCCTGCGCAAAGCCCCATGATACCTACGTATGTGTGCGATAGATCATATCAGGTGGGAAATGCCTTGCCATGCCTTCCAATAAGGTACACTATGCTAATGGCATCTCAAAACGCATTACAAACAAGGATAACCGCTTACTGTGCAAGTAGCACAGAATGTTCCCACCACAGTCTTAACAAAACTATCGTTTAAAAAGTTTTTCTTTCCAAATTAGTGTACTTTTTTGCTTGGTGTGAAAAAAGGATCTGACGTAAAAATATAATTTTGGCATATTAGACAGTCATAGAAATATAGGCAAATTGGGCAAAACTTTTTGTAGAAAAATGCCTTGAAAAACTAAAAAAATAATATATATATATTTTTTTTATTTTGAATTTTTTGAGCCCCAAAATGAAACTAAAAACTCCAATAACTAGTTTTACTTGCATAAAAATAAGTTTTAAGGTCTTAAATTAGGCATAATTCAGCTGTTGTAAGCCTGCTCGCTTGCTTTATTCGCTCGACGGAAGACGAAAAATAGAAATTTCAAACCAGTTTTTCTCGACATTGTTTAAAAAAAGGGATTTTTTTGTGGTTCGAATCAAGAAATGAAAGGGCTTTAGAATGATATTTCACTCAACCCAGGCCGATGATTATTTGTAGTACCTGATTTTGCGTGGAAAACAAAAAGAAAAAACCGCAACACCCGAAAATAAAGTGCCTCCCCATTTTCAATGGTGGGAACAACAATATGAAAATGAGGTTATCTCACATAGATCACTGAAATGCATCGAACTAAACATCTGCGAAGATTCAACGATCATCAAAGAGCTGCACACTTTTTATGTTATAAATCCACTGAAAGTGTCGACCGTAACCGAGTGCTGAATGAGTCACCAATACTGAAAACAAAGAACCTTTAGCTGAAATTGAATAGGGAAGAACAACTGAAACTGGCGCAACTAAGAAGCGGTTTTTTGCAGTAACTAGTTACTGTTACTAGTCTCATTACTCCTGTGTTTATACAAGGACAGACGGCTCTGTTGCCATTTTTTGATGTTTTTTCTTGACGCCATTCACATGGTGAAACAGGCTTAACTGTTGTCTCCACGAACGAACTGTTATAAATTATCAACAGTTCTTTTGTTGTTTGGAACCAGTTCAAAACAAGTATTTATTATATATCTTGATGTTGATCACTGCAAAATTTTTAGAACTAACCGATCATGATCCATAACTAAAACTTACGATAAATTGTAAAGCTGAAACTATTCATAGTTTCAGCCAGAGTTTCAGCCAGAGTTTCAGCCAGAGAAAATATAATGCAGATTGACATCAGTTACTTCCTTCTCTCTAACCTCGCATGTATACGAGTATTTTCTCTGTCTATTGAGACTAGGAAATATAAGAGTAAGATTATGAGTGGTATAAAACTAAAAAGTTGCTCGAATCTATCCGGCCGAAAATAAGATGGTGTACCTTATACGAAATTACTCTATGAAAAGGCCACCCGGACCCAAACTCATTTTAGTCTAACCTCTTTAAAGTATTTATATAAGGCTATATGACAATTGTTTTTATAGGTTGCAATTAAATTTAACTTTGCTTATATAGGAATTGTTGAGTGATCTACAATTATTGTTTGTGTTGCGTGTGTGTGTGAGTAATGAACGTAGTGAGTACTCTTATATAGGTCGGGGTGATTTTCTTTAAATTTTTAAGGAAAGTCCTAAAGTTGGTTCACCCTCAATTTTGATTTTTCGCGGTTCGACTTTTGATTTTTTTCAGTTCCCTTTTTTTCTTTTGTTAAAAGGAAAGCATACTCCACTATCGAGCAGCCAAAATGTAAAGGTCACGAAAAAAGTGATCGATTTCTATTTTCTAAAATGGAAGTTACTTACCAGATTTCGCAGCAAAGTATGAGTTTTACCTATTGATCCAATTGTCTCAAATTGACTTTGTTTTATCAAAAAAGTCGATCATAAATTGTTCTACAAACTCAAAGAGCTTTAAGGCCATCTATTTTTTTCGTTTTTTTTTCAGTTTCCTTGCGTTCATTACTCTTTTTCAACTATCAGTTGGCTTTGTTTATTGCAATGAGGAGGTAGATTGGCGGACAGAGTCACCCCTCTTTCAGTGAATATTGGCGGCGTCGACGTCGACTGGCAATGTGAATATTTAGGTGTTCGAGGGCACTAGTGGCATAGATGCGAAATACACCAAGTGTGAGTTCACTGGTGAGATCATGAAATTCGGAGTCTCCGAGGACATGTTGGGCAGGATATTCAACGGGTCAGGCAAACCCATAGACAAAGGCCCAAATGTACTAGCAGAGGCCTACCTTGGTGAGTAGTGCTGCTGCTGCAGCCGGCGGATGATCAATTGTGATCATGCTTGCTTTTTCTACTCTTATATGGTGAGGTGCACCAACTTCAATTATGTGCTTCCATTATGTCTCTCTATCGCTCTTAGAGGTTGTTAATCATTTCCCAATGTACAATTGTAAGAAGCAAGAAACCTAATATGTATGCGAGCCGGGTAAGTAGATTTAATTAAGCTAGTCGATAATGTGTGATTTGTGGTGTGATGATGGCACTGGTATCGTGTTTGTGCATCTAGATATAATGGGTCAGCCTATCAATCCCTACTCCAGAGAATACCCTGAGGAGATGATCCAGACTGGCATATCGGCCATAGACACCATGAACAGCATCGCCAGAGGGCAGAAGATTCCCCTATTCTCGGCCGCCGGTATGTAAATGGTCACACAGCAGCCGATATTCACATGCGAGATTATTAGAATTGCTTTGGCATGGCATAGAGGACTCAAGTTATCCTTTTTGGTTGAAAACATTGGTTTCGTTTCAAATACCAGCTATGAGTTTTAAACTTATCAACCGTGAAGTACGCCCAAGAAAAGTAAACTGTTTTCTTTCTTTCGTTGAAAGGAATCTCAGACTGTAATACTTCTGCAATAGGGAAGAGGCAACAATGCAAATATGAATGAGCATATGAAAGACTAAATTGAAGATGGAATTGACTTGTACTGTGTAATTTGTGAGTGTGTTATGATGCGTCTGTGGATGTGTGTAGGTCTCCCCCACAATGACGTCGCCGCCCAGATCTGCAGACAGGCGGGGTTAGTGAAGAGTGAGGGCAAGGAGGACGAGGACTTCGCCATAGTGTTTGCTGCAATGGGAGTGCCCATGGAGACTGCCAGGTTCTTCCGAGAGGACTTCGTCCAGGTCAGTTGCAAACCGTCAATTGTTCTCAACTGTTCTTTTCTCCCATCCGCCCACTCTTCTGCCTCACATGAACAAGCATCAATTCACTAGAGCAACACGTAGTTTACAAAGTGTATTTCCGAGCTGTAATGGTTTTGTGTTGGTTGAATTCATTACTCTTGCGATTAGCAAGGGTATTGCAATCGTGTACAAGATTTTTTTCCGTACAACTTTGTCCACAGGACTCATCAACTCCTAGTGGTACCTTTGTTTATAATGAATTCAGTTTTTTTACTGTCTCCTGCACACTAAGCCTGGAGGTAACGATTACACCCGGGAAGGCAAAGGTCACCCTATTGCATCGTTTGATGACCGAGAAAAATGTGTGCGTGTGTGTGTGTGTGTGTGTGTGTGTGTGTGTGTGTGTGTGTGTGTGTGTTTGAGAGAGTGAGTGTGAGTGTGAGTGATGTCTCAGATGGGGGACTCAATTTTTTTTTGCTGAGGTTTTTTTTCTGTATTGTTACCGCTTCGTAAATTTTATTCTGATAATATTTTTTCATTATATTGTCATGGCACGTTTTTTTTTCTCAAAAATATCATCATTGATTTTGATAGATTGGTTGTATGTATAGTTATAAAACATCGATATTACTTTTTTTACTGATCATTTTTCGGCTTTCGATTTAGCTCTCGGTTAGTTTCAGAATTGTTTATGAAAGAAATTGTAATTCTTTTTGTTAATGGTAAATATGCATACAACGAGAATTTAAATATCAAGCACCAGAAACAGTGAGGGGACAGTTAACGAACCCAATTTGGTTACTCAGCACTGCCCGTTTTATCAAATGAAAGACGAAATTTGAGATCTTCAAAGACAAGGAAAAATATATAAATCTGAAAACATAAAAGAAAATATTGGAAAATAAATACTCAAGTTTGAATAAACATAAAACAGCAGATTTAAGGCATTGTCTAGACAGGTTAATGACATAAGGTCTGAGCTTTGCATCAATATTTAAAATGATTGTTCAATCGTATTCGGTACAAAACCAAATTAAATAAGAAGTTAGTTTAAATTCATCACTCAAAATTTCTGAAAACTCATGTCAACTTGATTTCAGTACCTTTATGACAGTTTTAATTCTGTCAGCTTATTTACCTATTTTTTTTCTCCTCCAAGTTTTTGATATTGAAATGTTGAAAGCTAAAATTGAACCCCAATTGGAGCTCTTTAAAGTTTTTTAAAATATTCGAACTTTGAAAAGTTAGAAAAAAAGAATGAATTTCGTTTCGTACAACTTTCGAAATCCTCTTTGATAGTTCTGGAGTGTCTTAATGTTTAATCGTATACTTGTTGTATTGCAAGTGATGCGAAGCTCAGCTTCGCCTCTGTGTATTAAACTAAAAAGGTCAATTAAAGGCATCTGTTGTAAAACAAAAGGTGCTCCTCAGACGAAGCCATAACGTGCTTAGATGTGATATGATTTTATTTCTTTGTTATATTTGCTTGTGTTGCTTTGTTGTTCTGTTCCTTTGCGTGTATGATTTTTATAAAGGGTTATTTGTCTGTTTGTGTAGAATGGGAGTATGGAGAACGTGTGTCTGTTCTTGAACCTGGCCAATGACCCCACCATTGAGAGGATCATCACTCCCCGACTTGCCCTGACTGCGGCAGAGTACCTGGCCTACGACAGGGGAAAGCACGTGCTTGTCATTCTCACAGACATGTCCTCCTACGCAGAGGCACTCCGAGAGGTAACCCACCACTTAACACTCAACGCACCACACCACCTCGCTCTCTCTCCCTCTCTCTTTTCTCGACAATCCCCCGCCCCGGCCTGAGAACATTCTTTTTGCCCGTTTTTGTTAATTACGCTTTTAACACAGTTTTTGCGAATTAAATTGCGCTAAATTCATTGAACAACAAAGATACTCACCAAAATTTAACTTAAAATCAATTAACTAAATCAACCGTAAATCAATTTTTAGTGCGGGTACTAAAACGGAAATGACGCAAAAAACGTGAATGACTTCTAGGTTCGAATGTGGTTTTTGATTTTTAGATTTCACGGCGAAATAAGAGTGTTACCTATTGATCCAGTTTTCTCAAACTGGATTATCTTATTAATACAGTTTCAATGTTCTTGAAATTTAAAGAACTATAAAACATTTTTTCTTTAAACTCGAATCTTAAACCTTCTTTTCCAAAAAAACTTATTTTAAAAAAAAAAGTTTCTTTGTGTTCATTGGCCGTGTTCAAGTGGCTATTGACTTTTTTGAGGAAAACTCTTTAAAGATCTTCAACTCTTCTAATCAAATTATTACGTCGAGTTTTTTCCACTCAAAAATCTTTCCAACATATTCACAGCTATTTTCTCATATCTGTTTTTTTTTTCGTCAAACGACACGCGTTTTAAGCATTTATGCATTGTAAATTCCCTTTTTTCAACTTTAGTCGCAAGTTTAAGTTCCACCGAAAAAATCTTTGAAGTGTTTTATGGCGGTTTTTGTGTGTTTTACTTGTGTTTTAGTGTATCATGTTTCCTGTTGACTAGTTATTGAGGTACCCGCATCCAAGTTTAGGCGTAAGTAATCGATTATAACGGATATTTATGATGATTTTTGGACAATTATAATCGATTATAATTACCAAAATAGGTCTTTAAGGGATTTATAATTGATTACAATCGTGATATTTTCCAAGAGATTATAATCTTTTATAATCGATTATAATTAATTATAGTTCTTAATAAAAATCCTTAACATCAATTAAAATCAATTATAATCGATTATAATCTCTTAATTTGCCGAAATTTTCCTATATTCGAATTATATCTTATGGGTTATTATTTTTGTGTCAATAAAAAAATCTCTAAGAGAGAGATCTCTTGAACGTCTCTTGGTTCATCTGAACACGCTATTCTCTTGGTTCATCTGAGATCTCTTGGTTCATCTGAACACAAAGTTTTACCATGAAACAAAAGTTTCATAGAGATCCTTTCATATGAGTGGAAAGGTTCTCGCGGTAGATGAAAAATGTTTTCCGAATCAATCATGAAACTAAATCAATTTGCTGATGTTTTGGTGTATAAAAAAGCTTAAAATATGCATCACAAAACAACTCTAATGGGGAAGAAATGAATAAAAAACTTATAATTTTGAATTAATTGGAAAACTTTAAAAATATTTTACTCATTTTTCATAGCAACCAACGTCTACAAAAAGCATAAAATATAAGCAATTTAGATTCAACTTCGAAGACAAAAATGGACAAACAAAAGGGATTATAATCGATAATAATGGATTTTTGTGCAAAACTAACGAAATAGAAATTTGATTAAAAATAATGGATTATAATCAATTATAATCGATTATAATTGTATCAAAAAATAGACGAATAAATAATCGATTATAATGGTTTATAATTAATTATAATTGATTATTAATTGATTAAAATCGATTGTTTCTCAATTTTAGTGAGACTGGTACTAAAATCGTAATATAATCGATTCTTAGCGCTCGAAACTGGATGCGCGTAGTTAAAGGCCGTTGGATCAGCTAGTTAGGCACTTTATTTGACATTGCGGAGTTTCGATTCCTGGGGTGCGAAGTTTGTAGTGGTTATCGGTCGTGATTATTCTTTTCGTTTTTGCTTTGCAGAAAGTGTTCAAATTTGTTCACATTCGCGGTTTGGCTGTCGATTTTTTTTTCAAAATCAGTTTATTCCACTCGTTAAAAGTAAGGCAAGTTCCACTATCGAACAGCACGAGCGTATAGCTAATTAAAAATGAGATGTACTTCTTTTTTCAAAACTGCATTTAAAAACATTTTTTAAACCGTTTTTGAGAAACTTCGGATGTGAGCGGCTACGCTCTTATTTCTCCAAGAAAAATATATGGCTTTCGAAAAAGACGATTTTAAAATAAAAAAATTACCGTCTTTGGAAACATTTAAGCTTTTCTCGAAAACTAACAATGCCAATTCATAATTCAATGTTCGATCGAAAAACCCGATTATAGGAAGCCTGCTCTGCATGAGCTATTACGGCCTTTTTTTTAGGTAAAACAGTTAGAGACTGTAGTGATATTCAATTTTTTGAGTTTATGACCATTTGTTTGGAAACTTCACTTTTCACTACTCCGCCAAATCTGATTTTTGATCGAAAAAACAGTTGGTGAGAATCTACCTGCGTAAGTGATTCCACGGCTATGGGTTCTATCCAAAAAACAAGTTGTGGTAATCTTTCATTTAGAAATATGTGCGCTTTAATTTTGGTTGGAAAACTGCTTTGAACTGATGAAAAGTCAAAGCTTTGAGACTTGGATAGCTTCATGGAAGTTTTTCTAATTCTGAGGTTAATGGTTTAATTGGAAGAACATGGCACAAAGATCGTCCCTGCATAAACCAATGTGCTCGGCAGCGTAAGCCGAGGAAAGTTAGCTATTGTGGGATAAGTTGTGTTGTTTTTGCTGCTGTGGCTGTAGGTATCAGCTGCGCGTGAGGAAGTACCTGGTCGTCGTGGTTTCCCAGGATACATGTACACGGACTTGGCCACTATCTACGAGAGAGCAGGGAGAGTGAGTGGCAGACAGGGCTCTATTACCCAGATACCCATCCTCACCATGCCCAACGACGACATCACTCATCCCATTCCAGATCTCACAGGCTACATCACGGAGGGTACATTAAAAACATCTCACATTACATTACATTACATAACATTACACTACATAACTTTACACTATATTTACACTCGCGAACCAAAGTGTATTAGTACGAACTTCCTTTTTTTTCAACCTAAGTCGCAAATAAAAGTGCAAATTACTTATCCTGGAAATAAAATACCTTACTTAACATTGCATAATAACATCACACTTTCTAACACTACAGTACATTACTATATATTACTCACGCTACATTGCAGTCCATTAGACTTCACTACATTCGAATACAGTATAGAAGGTAGTTTGTACAGTAAATTATACTAAATTTCATTATCATTACATAACAGTACTTGACACTACACTCCATTACGTTAATTTACATTCATAACTCTACTACATTCACAACTAATCATAACTACATTCATAACTAATCTTACATTACCTTACCTTACAAAATATTACACTACAGTGCATTACTCATCCCTAGTTGGCAAATCTTCCCTCGTCTTCGCCGAGCCAACACCACATCTACGATGTGCCAAGCGGAAGAACAACTTTCCCTCACACCCGACGGGTTTTTGTCAAGGCACTCAAAAGTCTCCCTCCTACGAGTGCCCAGAAGCGTCATCAGGGCACTCCTCCTCATCGCAGGCGTTGAACAGAACCCGGGTTTGAAGTTCCCCTGTGTTATTAGCAGAACAAATTGCAAATACTCCTGTCTACAATGCACTACTTGCAAAAACTGGTGCCATTTCAAGTGTGCAAACGTGGACCTCTACACAGCAAGGGGGATCTACTGGTACTGCTCCACCTGCAAAGTCCAACCGCAAGCGAACCTCACAACCAAGACAGCCCCCAAGGCTGACATTAAGCTCCTCCAACTGAACATTTACGGCCTCAGGAGCAAAACCTCCGAGCTCGCCCTGCTTCTCCACAGCAACAAAGTTGTGTCAGCTCTGATCCAAGAAACCAAAATGGTGCCCAAAGCCCTCAGTCCGAAGATAGACGGCTACTCCATCATCCGCAGAGATCGTACGAGAAACGGAGGGGGACTATCTACTATCATCGACCACAATGTAAAGTTTCGCGAAGCTCCGGTGAGACAGACTGGCAACACCATGCTGTTTGCAGTCGACTTGTACGTTTGCAACGAGATTTGTCAAGTACTACATCCCTCCAGAGGAACCCGAGTACAACTTCGACAGCATAACCAACCTGACCACGGACCACACAGCCTTAGCTATGGGAGACGCCAACGCGCACAACGGACCCTGGCATTCTCCTATCGTACCAGACACTAGAGGCAGCGAAATCTCAAAGGTGTTGTTTCTCAGTAACCTCGTTGTCGTCAATGAAAACTGTCCGACGAGGCTTCCTTTCAGCGTTACTAGGCCGTCCTGGCCTGATCTAACAGCAGCCACTGATGACATTGTGCTCTTGACCAGCTGGCACACCATCAATATCAGGATGAGTGACCACCTCCCCTTAATGGTCTTAGTGGAGACAAACGATGTCAGAGTTGGAGTCTAACACAAGCACAACTGCATGTGGAACACGAGAAAAGCCGACTGGGAGAAGTTCGAAAAAGAATTGGATGATGCAGTTTCGGCATTCCCAATTTCGGCCGATCACCCCCGAAGAACGAGAGAAACTCTCTGGTACTGGTACTGCTCCACCTGCAAAGTCCAACCGCAAGCGAACCTCACAACCAAGACAGCCCCCAAGGCTGACATTAAGCTCCTCCAACTGAACATCAACGGCCTCAGGAGCAAAACCTCCGAGCTCGCCTGCTTCTCCACAGCAACAAAGTTGTGGCAGCTCTGATCCAAGAAACCAAAATGGTCCCCAAAGCCCTCAGTCCGAAGATAGACGGCTACTCCATCATCCGCAGAGATCGTACGAGAAACGGAGGGGGACTATCTACTATCATCGACCACAATGTAAAGTTTCGCGAAGCTCCGGTGAGACAGGCTGGCAACACCGAGCTGCTTGCAGTCGACTTGTACGTTTGCAACGAGATTTGTCAAGTACTACATCCCTCCAGAGGAACCCGAGTACAACTTCGACAACATAGCTATGGGAGACGCCAACGCGCACAACGGACCCTGGCATTCTCCTATCGTACCAGACACTAGAGGCAGCGAAATCTCAAAGGTGTTGTTTCACAGTAACCTCGTTGTCATCAATGAAAACTGTCCGACGAGGCTTCCTTTCAGCGTTACTAGGCCGTCCTGGCCTGATCTAACAGCAGCCACTGATGACATTGTGCTCTTGACCAGCTGGCACACCATCAATATCAGGATGAGTGACCAGCTCCCCTTAATGGTCTTAGTGGAGACAAACGATGTCAGAGTTGGAGTCTAACACAAGCACAACTGCATGTGGAACATGAGAAAAGCCGACTGGGAGAAGTTCGAAAAAGAACTGGACGATGCAGTTTCGGCATTCCCAGTTTCGGCCGATCACCCCCGAAGAACGAGAGAAACTCCTTCGAGCGGCGGTTACGAGAGCCGCTGAACAGAACATTCCCAGAGGCTGCCATCACCAAAACACTCACTACCTCCCCGCAGAGATCAGAGAAATGATCGAAAAACGAGACACCGCCACTGACAACGCCACAGCTTCTCAGAGGAATGCTGAGATAAAAAAAGAGAATCCTCAACCACAGGAAAACAAAATGGAGGGAATTCGTGGAGAACACGCGCCTATCGATAGGGAAAATCTAGCAAGCTGTCAGCAAGGTCAACGTCAAGAAAACTCCACAGAAAAAGACCCCGCTCATATTTCACGAAAAAGTGTAGGATGGAGTTTCGGCATTCCCAATTTCGGCCGACCACCCCCCCGAAGAACGAGAGAAACTCCTTCGAGCGGCGGTTACGGGAGCCGCTGGATAGAACTTTCCCAGAGGCCGCCATAACTAGAACACTAGCTACCTCCCCGCAGAGGTCAGAGAAATGATCGAAAAACGAGACACCGTAACTGACAACGCCACAGCTTCACAGAGGAATGCTGAGATAAAAAAGAAAATCGTCAACCACAGGAAAACAAAATGGAGGGAATTCGCAGAGAACACGCGCCTTTCGGCAGGGAAAATCTGGCAAGCTGTCAGCAAGATCAACGGCAAGAAACCCCCACAGAAAAACAGCGTCCTCATATTTGACGAAAAAATGTAGGATGGAGTTTCGGCATTCCCAATTTCGGCCGACCACCCCCCCGAAGAACGAGAGAAACTCCTTCGAGCGGCGGTTACGGGAGCCGCTGGATAGAACTTTCCCAGAGGCCGCCATAACTAGAACACTAGCTACCTCCCCGCAGAGGTCAGAGAAATGATCGAAAAACGAGACACCGTAACTGACAACGCCACAGCTTCACAGAGGAATGCTGAGATAAAAAAAGAGAATCCTCAACCACAGGAAAACAAAATGGAGGGAATTCGTGGAGAACACGCGCCTATCGACAGGGAAAATCTGGCAAGCTGTCAGCAAGATCAACGGCAAGAAACCTCCACAGAAAAAACACCGCCCTCATACTTGACGAAAAAGTGTAGGATGGAGTTTCGGCATTCCCAGTTTCGGCGACCACCCCCCGAAAAACGAGAGAAACTCCTTCGAGCGGCGGTTTCGAGAGCCGCTGAACAGATCATTCCCAGAGGCTGCCATCACCAGAACACTCCCTACCTCCCCGCAGAGATCAGAGAAATGATCGAAAAATGAGACACCGCCACTGACAACGCCACAGCTTCACAGAGGAATGCTGAGATAAAAAAGAAACTCGTCAACCACAGGAAAATAAAATGAACGGAATTCGTAGAGAAAGCGCGCATTTCGACAGGGAAAATCTGGCAAGCTGGCAGCAAGATCAACAGCAAGAAACCCCCACAGAAAATCACCGTCCTCATATTTGACGAAAAAATGTAGGTTGGAGTTTCGGCATTCCCAGTTTCGGCGACCACCCCCCCAAAAAAAACGAGAGAAACTCCTTCGAGCGGCGGTTACGACAGCCGCTGAAGAGAACATTCCCAGAGGCCGCCATCACCAGAACACTCCCTACCTCCCCGCAGAGATCACAGAAATGATCGAAAAACGAGACACCGCCACTGACAACGCCACAGCTTCACAGAGGAATGCTGAGATAAAAAAGAAAATCGTCAACCACAGGAAAACAAAATGGAGGGAATTCGCAGAGAACACGCGCCTTTCGGCAGGGAAAATCTGGCAAGCTGTCAGCAAGATCAACGGCAAGAAACCCCCACAGAAAAACAGCGTCCTCATATTTGACGAAAAAATGTAGGATGGAGTTTCGGCATTCCCTGTTTCGGCGACCACCTCCCGAAGAACGAGAGGAACTCCTTCGAGCGGCGGTTACGAGAGCCGCTGAACAGAACATTCCCAGAGGCCGCCATCACCAGAACACTCCCTACCTCCCCGCAGAGATCAGAGAAATGATCGAAAAACGAGACACCGCCACTGACAACGCCACAGCTTCACAGGGATTGCTGAGATAAAAAAAGAGAATCCTCAACTACAGGAAAACAAAATGGAGGGAATTCGTGGAGAACACGCGCCTTTCGACAGGGAAAATCTGGCCAGCTGTCAGCAAGATCAACGGCAAGAAACCTCCACAGAAAAACACCGCCCCCATATTTGAGGAAAAAGTGGTCACGAAAACCATGAAAATCACCAAGATGAACCGTTTCCTTTCGAACAATTGCGAATTGAAGAGGTCGCGAGAAACAAAAGAAAATAAACGGAACGCTGCGAAGCTGAAGCCCACAGGAAATTTTTTTCACTATCACCACCGAAGATGTTCTGAAAGCGATAAAGAAGATGTCCAAATCCTAAGCAGCTGCCCCCGACGGCATGGTGTCTTCATCTGAAGCACTTTGGGCGGAACACCTGCTCCTATGTGGCTTAGATTATCCAGCTATCTGGAGAAACGCCAAATTGGTTCCTCTACAGAAGCCGAACAAGCCGGCCCACAAGCCCGGTACCTACAGACCAGTGAGTATACTACCGC